GTGCCCCTGGTCTGCTGGAGACGGTCCCCAGCAGACCAGGGGCACCGGGAGCAGCTTTTCTCGCCCCAGAAGTCGAGGTGGCGGGACCGCTGCCTGCGAGCTCCGGGGTGAGAAAGCCCCGTTCGTAAGTGCGAATCCGACATAAGTCGGATCCGCGTAAGTCAGGGACTGCCTGTACTTCAAGATTATACAAAAATATTTCCAGAACTCAGTCTGGCATTACATAAACAAGAAAAGTCTAAGGGAAAAAAAATCTTACCTGACTCTCTCTTTTGAGTCTCCAAATGTCTCTTTTAAATTTGTTAAATCAGGATAGTAAGATGCAGGCGGGGATATTATTTCCACCAAGCCAGAACTGATTTCTGTAGAAAATCTATCATCAGAAACATCAAGTGAATAAGTGCAATGGGACTATTTATTATTGGTGCAGTTACTGTGTCCACATAAAATATATTTGTAATCATCTGGAACAAATGCATAATTATACCTTCAAAGAACATCAGAACGAAACCTCATCTTTTAATTTTTATGATTTGCAGGATTTATGTCTAGTAAAATTACATTCTTAATTTGACAGCATAATATAGCAGATTAATTTTTTAAATAGGCAACATAAAACAAAACTAGCATAAAAGTTATTTTTAAGTGAGTCTTCCCAAACAGTCCCTGTTATCTAATTCTATTACATTAACCAGAATATAATATCAATTTATTAAATACCTGGGCTTTCCCTTCTACACTTCAATTTGAGCATACTACTGCATAGGAGAAAATGAATGCAGATGACAAACCAATCCATTTTTGTCATGCCAAATCCATTTAATCCCATTTACTGTTTTACAGTTTAATCTTCTGAATTACTTTTCCTTGATTTGTCTTCATGTACTCATTTTTTCTAAAACCAAAACCACCTTGAGGAAAATAAGGAAGTAACCAAAATATTTCCCTCAAAGCATAGCTTTGTTAAGAAAATAAAACAACTCCCCAAACTTACTCTTTCTCCAGGCTTGCTACAACACTGTGTACGTAGTCAAGATCTGTCTGGAAAAAGAAAACAGCAATTTTGTAACTACACTTTTCCCCTTAAAAAAAAAAAAAGATTTTAAATAGTAACATTTCACAACCATTTTTAGAACACAAGGTGCTAACAATACTGGGATTTTTTTTTAAACTGGAGACATGCAATTAAAAAGTTATATTTCTTAAATGTTTGCTGCAAAAATTTTTAGTGGGGTCTGACATGTAATGAGATTCATGCCAAAAAGAGTTAAAAGTAATTTTTACTAAACCTACAAAAAGATACATCTGTGAAGCGTACTATTTAGTAAAATGGCTAATTAAAAATCATAAGAAAAAATTAAGGTATTTGTGTTGTTTTCAGTTGAATTTGTAATGAAGTAACTAGAACCCAAGACTCCTTCATAATTTCGGAGAGGCGGGTGTTTTGGGAATGGAATAGTGCCAATATCTGCACTGAGAGGAGCAGTGAGTGAGGCTTGAAGGTATATCTTGGTACTGGGAAGCATTTTGGCTCTAGTGCTGGCATGGGTTTCAGCATTGATATTATTGGGCCTGTCTTCCTTGCCACAGACGGTGGTGCTGCTATCTTAGTACTATCCTTTGTTGATGTTGAGGGTTTCTTTCTCAGTCCAGAATTCTTTCTGCAGGATACACATATTGCCTCTCCAAGCTGTGTTTTCACTTGGTGCAGGCATGCCTTTCTGCTCTGGAAGATGGAGTTGCGTCTCTCTTCCCCAATTGGCATGGAGGACTTTGGCATCAAGCAAAGGTCAGTGATGCTAGTGCCTGCACAGATGATTTTGGTTCCTTCTTCACTGTCCTTTTCCTCTAGAACCAGATCGTCAGAACACGTGCCTAAGATAAACTTCTCAGTTACTGTCTGGATTGAGGAATGCAGACATCCTTCAAAGCTACCCCCATGGATTGCTCTAAGAGGTATAGTTTGACCTTCACATCCCAGGATTTCTGAGTGCAGGACAAAAAGAGCAGCAGATAGTATACTTAATTGGGGATACAAGGATGGTTTTCCAAAATAAAATAGGCATCTGCTTTGTTAATCTACGATGGCCTTTAATACAATGAAGAAAGACAGGGTTTGAACCCAGTGAGTTTTGAATATACCAGTGTTTCTCAGCCTGTGATTTAGGACACAAAATGGGTCATGACCCCATTTCAACAGAGTCACCAGGGCTGGTGTTAGACTTGCTGGAGCCAGATGCTGTAGCCAGAGCACTGGGGCCCAGGGATAAAGCCAAAATTTGGGCAGTGGGGCTCAGGTTAAGGTCTCTACCTGGTGCTAAAACCCATATGCTTTGGTCCCCCTACCCAGGGTAGCAGGGTTTCAGGCTTCGGCTTCGGTCTCCCTTCCTGGGGTCATGTAGTAATTTTTGTTGTCAGAAAGGGATTGCAGTGCAATGACATCTGAGCACTCCTGAAGTACACTATAGCTACTGGTTGCCTCAAAGCACCTTGCCCTGCTGTACAGTGGGATGTCCAGGAGGATTTCTTCCATCTGTATTAATTTATTTTTTTCTGTCAGGATGGAAGAGTAAGATCAAAAAAAGTTAAATGAAGAAATTAACTAATGGGAGACCTGAAGAAGACATTTCTTCACCTGAGAAGAGTTACATATATCAGAAGTGGGTTGAGCCACAGGCCAGATTCTGTTTCACACCACAGGCACAGAAATATTTGAGGGACGGGCATGGCCACTCTGCCCTTTATTCCTTGTATGGGTGCACGAAGAGGAATAGGGCACACACAGAGCCCCCCCAGACACTGATAGTCAAAAGATTCCAAGCTTACACCTACGTAGCGCATACACACCTACAATGGGATCTATGCATACATGAAGAACTACCAGTTCTTAGGAAAAATACTTTAACAGATAAACAATTTTTCTACAACTAGATGACTAGAAGTCAGATTATTTGTCTTGAAAATAGACATAAAAACTGTAATTTATAGTACCAATTAAGGTCTCAACTCACATGCTTAAGCCTCTATTCAGGAAAGCACTCTTTCATGAATCAGGTTCTAAATTTTGCAAGAGACAAATTTCTACTAGCAATTTCTTAAGTCTAGTTTAAATTTTGCATAAATATCTTGCAACTTTAAGTTAAATTAAATCCTGACCTTTTATAAGATGTGGGTCACCAACATTCTAAACCTGCCATATTATACAACCTATTCTTCTGTAATATGTAACCATGGACATGGGAAAAGTGAGCCTTTGATTTTATAAATCAAAGTTGAAAATCAGTCTTTGTTACAGCTATTAATTTAATACTTTGATAAACTAATTATTAATTTTCAAAGGAAATTTTCTAGACTTTTACAAATCAAAGCTGATTCTGGAAGTTCATCAAAATGTTTTATTTACTGCCTCTTGCTGGTTATTCTTACAAATGATGGAAAACAAAAGGATAATTTATACTCTTCTTTTTATGTGCTCATAACTCAGATTAGCATTAATGAGCTATGTGTATTGAAAGGTGAATAGGAACCAAGAATTTCTATAGCAATATTAATCCTGTTTAAGGTTACTAGCCTTAAGGCTACAGCCCCAAAGCCCCTTTTTTATTCTGACCCTGCTGATGAGGCCAGAGTAGTGCGCGCCTCTTCTCCAGTCATGGCAGCTCTATGCACAGACACCCGTGAGCCCTTGCACAGGGCTTATTAGGTAGCTGTGCAGCTTACAGGGACCCTGATACCATAACATATCATCCTTACTTTTGAATTGTTTCTGGTGGCACCTCTGCATTAGAGCTGGGCTCCTGGTCAGAAGCAACTATTCTCCAGCTCCCCAGTTCTGAAGGCAGCACTAGCTATATAAAGATAGCAATACTGCAACACTCCCTACAATACCTTCACATCAATACCACTCCTTTTTTGGTAAAGGACCCCTACAATTACAACATCCTGACATTTCAGTTTTATTTATGACTTTGAAATTCCTGTGACTGTGAAATTGACAGAGACAAAATGAATTTGGTAGGACTCTACTTATATCTGATTAGTGACTTCCTTTCAGATATGCATCACTTGGCTCATCCTAGAAAAGATAAAAACTTTTGTCTATTAATTGAGGAAGATCTTATTTTCTAAAAACTTTAAGGATGAATCCACGATATCTCCAGAGACAGATGTGTAGGGGAGAAAATGAAGAAAAACACAAATTTTCCCTTTAAATGGGCAAATTTAATGTTGTGATGAGCCAAACCAGAAAATCCAAAGTGAGTCTCTAAAAAGATGGGATATATCAATGTGTGTTGGAGAGTCACCAAAGAAAGAAACTTGGGAAAGACTCCCAATCTGACCCGATAGCCAAAAGGCCAGTAAGAATAAATTCGTTTTACATCTAGTTGGCACTGGTGCTACTGTAGCAGTGGGATTTTATATTTGTATTTCAGGTTCAATAATGTAGTAATGTATGACTTAATTTTATCCTGCCAGCCACCCTCATTGGTAGAAATGCATCTGACAGACCACTAGGCCCTTTAGTTAAATATACATTTCTTTGTTTTAAGGTTTAGTAATTGAGACACAGGATTTTGTATTGTCTCTATGTTAATGAGATTAGAAATATTGAAGGCCCGGGCCTTCAATGTGAACTGTATTGATTACAAGATTTAGTAAGGTTTAATTTACAATGCTTTTTGCTTTTGCTCAATAAAAAACACTGCTGTTTGTATATGTGAAAGACTGTTTATGTGAATGAAGAATGTATAATCAGAAAGATGAGGTGTGAAGGCCATTGTTAAAACCAGATGGTCAAGAGAAGAGGGGGCGAAGAGACTTACCGACACCAAAGAACCATCAGTGCGTATCCATGATCAGGGATTGGCAGACTGACGACTAAGGTGGAGCTGGCACCCCTAAAGACAACTGATTAATCCAGGACAGGCTGAGCCTCTCGGCGGTGTTTTGGAATGTTAACGTCAAAAGATAACATCAATTAAGGAGTAACCAGTCACAAGCTGACAGCGAAATCCATAGACTTCAACAGAGGAAAGAGGATTATATAAGAACAGGGTGCTTTGCTATGGGACTTTGGATTCATTTTGCCACCAATTCCAGGAGTATCAGATTGCGACCGACAAAGCCCGGCTCCGCTCTGCGATCAATCTGGCTGGCCACTCGATTGATCCAGACTCTGGATTGGTAACTAGAACATCGACTGGTGGGAGAATGGGAGCGAAAGATAAAGAGAGAGAGAGCGTGTGTGAGAGAGTGAAAAGCATATGCTAACTGTTGTAGTCTCAATAAATGTGGCGTACTGCCTTCTCCCCTTTAAAAGAGCTTGTGTGCTTCGTATGGACATAACACTACTATTACTGGAATAATGTCTCCAGTTTTGGTGCCTTCAATGAAGAGGATGTTGATAAATTGGAGATGGTTCAGAGAAGACCCACAAAAATTATTAAAGGATTAGAAAACATGCTTTATGATGGACTCAAAAAGCTCAATCCATGTGTCTTAAGGAAAAAGTTAAGTGATGACTAGATTAGAGTTTATAGTCGCCCATATAGGAAACCAGTTTTTAATAATGCACTTTTTTTCTGCTAAAGAGAAAGGTATAACATGGTCCAATGGCATAAGCTGAAGACAAATTCGCACTGGAAATAAGGATCCTGATGGATTCTCCCTCACTGACAATTTTAAAATCAAGGTTAGATGTACTTCAGGAAATATCTGGGATAAATTGTATGGACTATGTTATACAGGACATACCTTATAACCAGAATGGTTCATTCTGATCATGGAATCTGTGAATCTTTAAACTATATGAACAACAAGAAGCCCTGTGGCACCTTACAGACTAGCAGATTTATTGGAGCATAAGCTTTCGTGGACAAAGACCCACTTTGTCAGATGCATGTAGTGGAAATTCCAGAGACAGGTATAAATATATAGGCATAAGAAAAGAGTTCCAATCAAGAGTAAGGTCAGAGATAAAGAGGTCAATTCAGACAGGGAGTGTGAGGCCCACTTCTAGCATCAGATGTGGAGGTGTGAAC